CTTCTTTTTCTTCCTAACTCTTTCTCAATACTCTTTTTTTATGTCCTTTCTTTTTTTTTTTTTTTTTTTTTTTCTTGCTTTCTTTCTTTCTTTGGTTTTCTCCTTTTGACGCTCTTACTTTCTTTAATTTTTTTTCTTTTTTATTCCTTACAAACAAACCTAATTTCACTTATTCCTTGCTTTTTTCTTTCTTTATTTCTCTCTCTTTTTCTTTCTTGGTTCTTCTCTTCTTTCTTTCTTTTTTTTTTCAACAAAATATTTCCCTCATTTTTTTCAAAACATATGCACGCGAATTTTCCTGTTTTTTCATTCATAAAATCTATTATATACTATATATATCATAAAATCTATTCTATACTATATATATACTATTATATACTATATATATACTATTATATACTATATATATATACTCTTCTACACTATATATATACTATTCTATACTATATATATACTATTATATACTATATATATACTATTTTTTAATATATATATATACTATTATATACTATATATATATACTATTATATACTATATATATACTATTCTATACTATATATACTATATATACTATATATATACTATATATATATATATATATATATATATATATATATATATATATATATAATACTTCATAGTTTCCTAACAGATGAGGACGAGACTTGAGGTTACAGATATATATATATATATATGTAGTCTTACAGAAGAATTCTGGGAAAACCGTAAACGGAGATCGCAAGCAACCAGGAATCTTTTAAGGAAAATGGAATAAATTAGACACTCAGGATCAGAAAGAGACAGTTGAAATTTCTGAGAGATATAACGAGTAAAAAGGTTTTGACGAATATGACACTCAAATGATATACTGAAGTCAAGAGTGTCAAATGGAAACAGCGATTAATGTACATAAGGAGCGTGGATGGCAGAACATAGAGTGGGAGAGTAAAAAGATAAACATTGCTTTGTGATACAAAGAAGAAGAAGATCTGATCACCCTCATTCTAACAGGGTGCATAAGACTACCTACTCACTTATTATAGTACCTTTTTTATTAAATAGCCTTTTTCTCTGCTGAAATGTTTTTCTACCATTCACCTCTAATTTCTTCGTACTCACTTTTCTCTTTTCTTTTTCAATCGGGGATTTTATTATTTACATTCTTCACATGTGAACAGTTGTCCTCATCTTGATTGTTGTTATCACAAGCTTTCGGGCGCTGTTCACACGATATCTATCCGGGTAACCTAGAGGGAATTCAAAACGGAATCATTTATATAACCTACGGAGTAGACGGTTCTCTTTCCATTGCTCATGTCTCGGGATATGTCTCGTCTTGTTCTTGTATTATTTTCATTGCTCGCTCTGTTTTCCATGAATCCAAGTACACTCCACCCGGCCCAGGGATTGAACTCACAATGACTCTATCACCAAATGCACATAAACTAACACTTTAACCTACAATCTTTAATTTTATCATTTTTAAACAGTTTTATATTCTTTTTCCTTTTTTTTTTTTTTTTACTTCTTTTTTAATTAGTGTTGTGTATGATACACCTAATTTACATAAGTGGAGTACCGACCATATAAATATGGGTTGGTACCGGAAGACGACGGAAGATTAAGAGATCGAATCCAGAGACTCTGCCCGACTGCGACTTAGTCAACCCATTCTGCAGGAACAGTCTTCCCAAGAATATACCAAAACTACCTGTAAATATTGTGTACCTTTTTTTCATTGTTTCAATACATTTTGTTACGTACATTTTGTGTTGTATTATTATTATTCCATGCTTATTCAAGCTTCAACAATTAGTATTACCACAAGTAAGGCAGTAAAGCCACTAAGACACAAGGGGTTACAGGGTGTGGAAGAATTAGGAACAGAAACATTAATAATGAGCGGGAAGAGGAAAAAGTAATCAGGAGGAGAGTAGATAGCGATTGATATTGCATTTACATTTTTGAAGATTAAAGTTGGTTGGAAAGCATGGATCCGGAAGGGAGTTCCACAAGCGAGAAGTGCGGGATAAGAATCTGTTATAATTGAATTTACGGCTACATCTAGCTAGCTCAACTGTAAATTGATGAGATCTCGCCGCCAGCCGAGTATTGCGCTTAAATTCATAAAGTCTAGGTACCATTGCGAAGAGCCTATCCGAACAATTACCGTGAAAGTATTTATTTAAAAAAAAAAGGTACAGTGGGTAAGTGAATGACGGCGAGCTGCCAGATCAGGTCCAATAATACTGCGGATTCTTCTTTGGATTTTATCAAGGAGCTCAAGGTAAATAGCAGGGGCCCCCGACCATATGTGGCGGCAATATTCTAAGAAAGGTTGAACGGTAGACTTAATGATATGTAGGATAGATTCTGGAAAGAAAAAATTTTCTTTTGATTTGAATCTAATATTTTCCCTTTTGCTTTCTTCAATAATGTATCGTTTTTATTATTATTATTATTATTATTATTATTCTGACCACCTTCAATAAATATTTATGATTTCTTTTATATTTCGATGAACATCACAATGGTAATAGCAAAGCACTCATCATCACTTTTTCTTCATGTTCCGCAGCGTCCCTTCAGCAGATCATGGCGTTCCACAACTTCCTATCCCTTCTGAATGTTTACCTATCCAAAAAGATAATGATAATAAAGGTGATTCTTTTCAAGAAGTAACATCGTTTACACGAAAGGCAACTAGTTATCAGAGCAAGAAGTGGAATCGGCATGCCGAGTTCAATTTCTGACTTAGTCCGCTTCGTTCACGATACAAAAGACCTGAATCCATCTTCCTCCTGTTAGTGATTCAAAATCTGGACAGATTCTTGCCTTGGTTGGCAGCCAATCTAGGGAAATCCTGAATTCAAACCGATACCAAGAGGCGCAAGAATGACAACGTTACTCCCTCCATCGATGCTTGTTCTACTCAATCTCTACAACACCCCACTCACCGAACAGGTATCCTGAACTACACCTTAAAGTTGTATTCTGAATTATATAATAAATACCATCTATAAGAGTAAAGTAAATATCGGAATCTGATTTTTAACTTAGGTAATCTTTCTTTACCTATGAGGAATGACGCTACACAAATTTCTTTACCCATCCTACAACATTTGACTTTGGATTCCAATAACCTAAGCTAAGAAATTATCAATAACAAACCAGGATTTCGAATGCCAATTTTCTAAGCATTGGTATCCTCCTTATTTTTTCAAATGAATGTAACACAATCTTCTTTGCACTTACGGCAATATCACATTAAAACAACGGTTTCCATATGATCAGTACTTAGATGGGTGACCCCTTGGGAATAACAATTTCTGGATGTGTGGATGCTGTAATGGACAATGGATCGGAATTATTAATCGAGGAACCAAGGTCCAGGTTCGTTTTACTTACGCGAAAAAGCCTTTGAGAAACGCTATGAATCCACCTCTTATCCATCAAACTGTGAGTTAATTAGTAAAACTTGTATCACTATATCATTTAGTAATCCTTCCTCTCTTCTAGCAGACAAATTTTACACGTATGACTTATTAAATATTGTTGTATTCTTATAATGATTGGTACGAGGTAAAAACAAAAAACAAAAGAAAAGATTTCGAATGCTGATTTTAAAACTGGGCAAACAAAATTCAGTTGAATATATATTTATTAACTCAGGTGTGATACCTACTGGCCACAGTGGTCAACGTTCGAACTCGTATGAATGTATTCTCTACTTTTTTTCTGAGTATCAATATAAAAATACAGATACATTTTATAATATTTCGAATACATATTCTCTAATTTAACAGGCTTTCGCTATTGGCAACAGTTTCGTAACGCATCGTGCATTTCAATAACATTTGTCAATTGTTCTCGGCCAGTCTCTGTGGTATGCAGCCTAATAGAACCCACGCCCTAAAGTCACCCTAACATTCTCAGTCTATGTGTCCGAGAGAGTGCCTTCTCTTCTCCGAAACGTTTGTTTATATGTATATCTATGCAATGGTTTTCCACGCACGCTCATATATCAGGCGCAGTCTTGCCCACAGGTGTTAACCTGTAGGGTCATCAGTATCAAGAATGGAATCGTGGATCTGTAGCCCAGGCTGAGGTCATCTCAGATCAACTGCTCACCTGGCTTTCTTTGACGGTCTGGTGTGAAATCGAGGCCAAGATAATATCACACTAACATCCTCTACTGAATATTAGCCTTGTGTCTTGTGAAACAAAACACAATAAATAATTAAGGTTTCATATTACAGTTCGCTTTCTCATAATTCGTAATGTTTATGGTTTTCCATCGAGAATTTTCCACTGGCTACTGAATCATAGCCAAGACTTTCACTCAATATTTTTTCTATTTTCTTTACTATCATATAACACGCCTTCCGCCATATTTTTCCTTTTTTCTTCTTTATCGTGTAACACATTGACAAGTAGAGTGGTTTTCATTTTACTTCTCTATCATAGAATACAGTATTTCAGCTTGAGTCATTTTCGATGCCTCCCCCACCCCAGTTTTAAAATCCATTCATTCAGTTTTTTTTTCTTTTTATTTTACCCATTTCGTTTGTAGTTCATTCATTCTACTGTACTATATTGATAATTCTCCGCGATTTTATGAATTCTTTTATTATTCAGTGATTTCTTTGACAACTCAGTCACATTACACATTCTTTCAGACATAGGATATGCTTTTTTTTCTTCTCTCTCACATAATCTATTCTTTCAACCACGATGTTTTCATTTTTCTTCATTGTGACATTGTTAACTGTTTCAGTAAAATTTTCTTTTTTGCCTCTATCATGATCTATTCCTTCAGCCACATTTCCATTTTCTTCTTTATCAAATATTATCTTTTCAGTCAATACTCCTTTTTTTTCATTTTTATCACATAATCTCGTCTTACGCCACAATGTTTTCCTTTTTCCTTTATCCTTGTTCTCTTTAATCTCAATGTTTTCCCTTTTTCCTTTATCCTTGTTCTCTTTCTTACTGCAACAATGTTTTCCCTTTTCCTTTATCCCTTGTTCTCTTTCTTACTGCAACAATGTTTTCCCTTTTTCCTTTATCCCTTGTTCTCTTTCTTACGGCCACAATGTTTTCCCTTTTTCCTTTATCCCTTGTTCTCTTTCTTACGTCCACAATGTTTTCCCTTTTCCTTTATCCCTCTTTTGTTCTCCTTTTTCCTTTATCCCTTGTTCTATTTCTTCCAACAATGTTTTCCTTTTTCCTTTATCCTTGTTCTCCCTTGTTCTCTTTCTTACTGCAACAATGTTTTCCCTTTTTCCTTTATCCCTTATTCTCTTTCTTACTGCAACAATGTTTTCCCTTTTTCCTTTATCCCTTGTTCTCTTTCTTACTGCAACAATGTTTTCCCTTTTTCCTTTATCCCTTGTTCTATTTCTTACTGCAACAATGTTTTCCCTTTTTCCTTTATCCCTTGTTCTATTTCTTACTGCAACAATGTTTTCCCTTTTTCCTTTATCCCTTGTTCTCTTTCTTACTGCCACAATGTTTTCCCTTTTTCCTTTATCCCTTGTTCTCTTTCTTACGGCCACAATGTTTTCCCTTTTTCCTTTATCCCTTGTTCTCTTTCTTACTGCAACAATGTTTTCCCTTTTTCCTTTATCCCTTGTTCTCTTTCTTACTGCAACAATGTTTTCCTTTTTCCTTTATCCCTTGTTCTCTTTCTTACTGCAACAATGTTTTTCCTTTTTCCTTTATCCTTGTTCTCTTTCTTTGCAACAATGTTTTCCCTTTTCCTTTATCCCTTGTTCTCTTTCTTACTGCAACAATGTTTTCCCTTTTCCTTTATCCTTGTTCTCTTTCTTACAGCCACAATGTTTTCCTTTTTCCTTTATCCTTGTTCTCTTTCTTACAGCAACAATGTTTTCCCTTTTCCTTTATCCCTTGTTCTCTTTCTTACAGCAATGTTGTTTTCCCTTTTTCCTTTATCCCTTGTTCTCTTTCTTACGGCCACAATGTTTTTCCCTTTTCCTTTATCCTTGTTCTCTTTCTTACTGCCACAATGTTTTCCCTTTTTCCCTTTATCCCTTGTTCTCTTTCTTACTGCCACAATGTTTTCCCTTTTCCTTTATCCCTTGTTCTCTTTCTTACTGCAACAATGTTTTTCCCCTTTTTCCTTTATCCTTGTTCTCTTTCTTACAGCCACAATGTTTTTCCCTTTTTCCTTTATCCCTTGTTCTCTTTCTTACTGCAACAATGTTTTCCTTTTTCCTTTATCCCTTGTTCTCTTTCTTACAGCAACAATGTTTTTCCCTTTTTCCTTTATGTTTTGTTCTCTTTCTTACAGCCAATTTTTCCCTTTTTCCTTTATCCCTTGTTCTCTTTCGGCAACAATGTTTTCCTTTTTTTCCCTTTATCCTTTCTTGCAACAATTTTCCCTTTTTCCTTTATCCCTTGTTCTCTTTCTTACGGCCACAATGTTTTCCCTTTTTCCTTTATCCCTTGTTCTCTTTCTTACTGCAACAATGTTTTCCCTTTTTCCTTTATCCCTTGTTCTCTTTCTTACGGCCACAATGTTTTCCCTTTTTCCTTTATCCCTTGTTCTCTTTCTTACGGCCACAATGTTTTCCCTTTTTCCTTTATCCCTTGTTCTCTTTCTTACTGCAACAATGTTTTCCCTTTTTCCTTTATCCCTTGTTCTCTTTCGGCAATGTTTTCCCTTTTCCTTTATCCTTGTTCTCTTTCTTTGCCACAATGTTTTCCCTTTTTCCTTTATCCCTTGTTCTCTTTCTTACTGCAACAATGTTTTCCTTTTTCCTTTATCCTTGTTCTCTTTCTTACTGCAACAATGTTTTCCCTTTTTCCTTTATCCCTTGTTCTCTTTCTTACAGCCACAATGTTTTCCCTTTTCCTTTATCCCTTGTTCTCTTTCTTACTGCCACAATGTTTTCCTTTTTTCCTTTATCCTTGTTCTCTTTCTTTGCAACAATGTTTTCCCTTTTCCTTTATCCCTTGTTCTCTTTCTTGCAGCCACAATGTTTTCCCTTTTTCCTTTATCCTTGTTCTTTTCTTCTTTCTCCTTTACAATGTTCTCTTTTTCCTTTTCCTTTATCCCTTGTTCTCTTTCTTACTGCAACAATGTTTTTCCCTTTTCCTTTATCCCTTGTTCTCTTTCTTACGGCAACAATGTTTTCCCTTTTCCTTTATCCCTTGTTCTCTTTCTTACGGCAACAATGTTTTCCTTTTTCCTTTATCCCCTTGTTCTCTTTCTTACTGCAACAATGTTTTCCTTTTTTTTTCCTTGTTCCTCTTTCTTACAGCAAACAATGTTTTTCCTTTTTCCTTTATCCTTGTTCTCTTTCTTACTGCAACAATGTTTTTCCCTTTTCCTTTATCCCTTGTTCTCTTTCTTACGGCCACAATGTTTTCCTTTTCCTTTATCCTTGTTCTCTTTCTTACAACAATGTTTTTTTTTTTCCTTTATCCCTTGTTCTCTTTCTTACGTCCACAATGTTTTCCCTTTTTCCTTTATCCCTTGTTCTCTTTCTTACTGCAACAATGTTTTCCCTTTTTCCTTTATCCCTTGTTCTCTTTCTTACGGCCACAATGTTTTCCTTTTTCCTTTATCCCTTGTTCTCTTTCTTACTGCAACAATGTTTTCCTTTTTTCCTTTATCCCTTCCTTGTTCTCTTTCTTTGCAACAATGTTTTCCCTTTTCCTTTATCCCTTGTTCTCTTTCTTACGGGCCACAATGTTTTCCCTTTTTCCTTTATCCCTTGTTCTCTTTCTTACGGCCACAATGTTTTCCCTTTTTTCCTTTATCCCTTGTTCTCTTTCTTACTGCAACAATGTTTTTCCCTTTTTCCTTTATCCTTGTTCTCTTTCTTACAGCCACAATGTTTCCTTTTTCCTTTATCCTTGTTCTCTTTCTTACTGCAACAATGTTTCCCTTTTTTCCTTGTTTCTCTTTTTATCCCTTTTTCTCTTTCTTTACTTTCTTCTTTTGGCCACAATGTTTTCCCTTTTTCCTTTATCCCTTGTTCTCTTTCTTACGGCAACAATGTTTTTCCTTTTTTTCCTTTATCCCTTGTTCTCTTTCTTACTGCAACAATGTTTTCCCTTTTCCTTTATCCCTTGTTCTCTTTCTTACCACAATGTTTCCTTTTTCCTTTATCCTTGTTCTCTTTCTTAAGCCCAATGTTTTCCCTTTTTCCTTTATCCTTGTTCTCTTTCTTATGGCCACAATGTTTTCCCTTTTCCTTTATCCTTGTTCTCTTTCTTACTGCAACAATGTTTTCCCTTTTTCCTTTTCATTGTTCTCTTTCCTTTTGTTTTCCCTTTTCCGGCATCAATGTTTTCTTTTTTTCCAATTTTTCCCTTTTTCTTTTTTTGTTCTCTTTCACAGCCACAATGTTTTCCCTTTTTTCCTTTATCCCTTGTTCTCTTTCTTTTGCCACAATGTTTTCTTTTTTCCTTTATCCTTGTTCTCTTTCTTGGCCTTAATGTTTTCCTTTTCCTTTATCCTTGTTCTCTTTCTTACTGCAACAATGTTTTCCTTTTCCTTTATCCCTTGTTCTCTTTCTTACGGCCACAATGTTTTCCCTTTTCCTTTATCCCTTGTTCTCTTTCTTGGCAACAATGTTTTTCCCTTTTTTCCTTTATCCCTTGTTCTCTTTCTTACTGCAACAATGTTTCCCTTTTTCTTTATCCTTGTTCTCTTTCTTACAGCCTAATGTTTTCCCTTTTTCCTTTTTCCTTTTATCCTTGTACAATGTTTTCTCTTTCTCCCTTGTTCTCAATGTTTTTCCTTTTTTTCCTTTATCCCTTGTTCTCTTTCTTACGGCCACAATGTTTTCCCTTTTCCTTTATCCCTTGTTCTCTTTCTTACTGCAACAATGTTTCCCTTTTTCCTTTATCCTTGTTTCTCTTTCTTACTGCAACAATGTTTTTCCTTTTCCTTTATCCTTGTTCTCTCTTTCTTACGGCCACAATGTTTTCCCTTTTTCCTTTATCCCTTGTTCTCTTTCTTACGGCCACAATGTTTTCCCTTTTTCCTTTATCCCTTGTTCTCTTTCTTACGGCCACAATGTTTTCCCTTTTTCCTTTATCCCTTGTTCTCTTTCTTACGGCAACAATGTTTTCCCTTTTTCCTTTATCCCTTGTTCTCTTTCTTACGGCCACAATGTTTTCCCTTTTTCCTTTATCCCTTGTTCTCTTTCTTACTGCAACAATGTTTTCCTTTTTCCCTTTATCCTTTTTCTCTTTCTTACGGCATAATGTTTCCCTTTTCCTTTATCCTTGTTCTCTTTCTTACTGCAACAATGTTTTCCCTTTTTCTTTATCCCTTGTTCTCTTTTCTTAATGGCAACAATTTTTTTCCCTTTTTCTTTTTATCCTGATGTTTGTTCTCTTTCTTACTGCAACAATGTTTTCCCTTTTTCCTTTATCCCTTGTTCTCTTTCTTACGTCCACAATGTTTTCCCTTTTTCCTTTATCCCTTGTTCTCTTTCTTACTGCAACAATGTTTTCCCTTTTTCCTTTATCCCTTGTTCTCTTTCTTACGGCCACAATGTTTTCCCTTTTTCCTTTATCCCTTGTTCTCTTTCTTACTGCAACAATGTTTTCCCTTTTCCTTTATCCCTTGTTCTCTTTCTTACGGCCACAATGTTTTCCCTTTTTCCTTTATCCCTTGTTCTCTTTCTTACTGCAACAATGTTTTCCCTTTTTCCTTTATCCCTTGTTCTCTTTCTTACTGCAACAATGTTTTCCCTTTTTCCTTTATCCCTTGTTCTCTTTCTTACTGCAACAATGTTTTCCTTTTCCTTTATTTTTCCTATTTTTTATCCAATGTTTCTTCTTTCTTTACAGCATTCAATGTTTCCAATGTTTTACTGTATCCCTTGTTCTCTTTCTTACGGCCTTAATGTTTTTCCCTTTTCCTTTATCCCTTGTTCTCTTTTCTTACAATGCAACAATGTTTTTCCCTTTTTCCTTTTTCCCATGTTTTCTTCTTTTGCAAATAATGTTTACCCTTTTTCCTTTATCTTTGTTCTCTTTCTTTACTAATGTTTTCCTTTTCCTTTATCCCTTGTTCTCTCTTTCCTGTAATGTTTTCCCTTTTCCTTTATCCCTTTGTTCTCTTTCTTATGGCCACTGTCTTTCCCTTTTTTCCCCTTTATCCCTTTTCTCTTTCTTACGGCCACAATGTTTCCCTTTTCCTTTATCCCTTTGTCTTTCTTGCAAATAACAATGTTTTCCTTTTCCTTTATCCTTGTTCTCTTTCTTACTGCAACAATGTTTTTCCTTTTTCCTTTATCCCTTGTTTCTTTTTACGGCCAATGTTTTCCCCTTTTCTTTTATCCTTGTTCTCTTTCTTACGGCCACAATAAGTTCTTTTTTCCTTTTAGAGATCCTTGCCTTCTTCTGCGCCATACAATTGCTTTCCTTTTTCCTTTATCCCTTGTTCTCTTTTCTTACTGCAACAATATTTTTCCCTTTTTCTTTATCCCTTGTTCTCTTTCTTTACGTTTTTCCCTTTTCCTTTATCCCTTTATCCTTTACAATGTTTTCCTTTTTTTTTATCCCGTCCACAATGTTTCTCTTTCTTCCGTACAATTTTTCTTTATCCCTTGTTCTCTTTTTCTTACTGCAAATAATGTTTTTTTTTTTCCTTATCCTTGTTTCTTACTGCAACAATGTTTTCCTTTGTCCTTGTTTTTTTCAATTTTCCCCTTTTTTTTCCTTGTTCTCCTTTCGGCCACATAATGTTTTCCCTTTTCCTTTATCCTTGTTCTCTTTCTTACTACATAATGTTTTTTCCTTTTCCTGATCCTGGTTCTCTTTCTTACTGCAACAATGTTTTTTCCTTTTCCTTTTTTCCTTGTTCTCTTTGCCTGCCTTAATGTTTTTCCCCTTTTTCCTTTATCCTTGTTCTCTCTTTTCTTAATGTTTTCCCTTTTTCCCCTTGTTTTTTTTTTATCCCTTATTTTCTCTTTCTTACTGCAACAATGTTTTTCCTTTTCCTTTTTTCCTTTATCCCTTGTTCAATGTTTCTTTCTTTACTGCAACAATGTTTTTCTTTTTTTCCTTTATCCTTGTTCTCTTTCTTACTGCAACAATGTTTTCCCTTTTCCTTTATCCCTTTTCCCTTTTCTCCCTTCCTTACTGCAACAATGTTTTCCCTTTTTCCTTTATCCCTTGTTCTCTTTCTTACTGCAACAATGTTTCCCTTTTTCCTTTATCCCTTGTTCTCTTTCTTTGCAACAATGTTTTCCCTTTTTCCTTTATCCCTTGTTCTTTTCTTACTGCAACAATGTTTTCCTTTTTTCCTTTATCCCTTGTTCTCTTTCTTACTGCAACAATGTTTTTCCTTTTTCCTTTATCCTTGTTCTCTTTCTTACTGTTCAACAATGTTTTTCCCTTTTTTCCTTTATCCCTTGTTCTCTTTCTTTCAATGTTTCCTTTTCCCTGTCCCTTATTCTCTTTCTTACATCCTTTTTTTCCTTTTCCTTTATCCTTTTCTCTTTTCTTACACAATGTTTTCCTTTTTCCTTATCCCTTTGTTCTCTCTTTCTTACGGCAACAATGTTTCCCTTTTTCCTTTATCCCTTGTTTCTTTCTTACTGCAATGTTTTCAATGTTTTTCCCTTTTTTTTCTTTATCCCTTTTTTCTCCTTTCTTGCAACAACAATGTTTTCCCCTTTTTCCTTTATCCCTTGTTCAATGTTTTTCCCCTTTTCATTTTATCCAATGTTCTTCCCCTTTTTCCTTTATCCCTTATTTCTTTCTTGCTGGCAACAATGTTTTCCCTTTTTTCCTTTATCCCTTGTTCTCTTTCTTACGGCAACAATGTTTTTCCTTTTTCCTTTATCCCTTGTTCTCTTTCTTACTGCAACAATGTTTTCCTTTTTCCTTTATCCCACATTTCTCTTTCTTTGCAACAATGTTTTCCCTTTTTCCTTTATCCCTTGTTCTCTTTCTTACTTAATCTCCTTTTTTCCTTTTCCCTTTATCCTCTTTTCTTTCTGCAACAATGTTTTCCCTTTTCCTTTATCCCTTGTTCTCTTTCTTACGGGCAACAATGTTTTCCTTTTTCCTTTATCCTTATTCTCTTTCTTACGGCTTTATCCTTGTTTTTTCCCTTTTTCCTTTTTCCTTTATCCCTTTCTTTTCTTTGCTACAATGTTTCTTTTTCCATCCTTGTTTTCTTTCTTCTGCAACAATTTTTCCCTTTTTTTTATCCTTATTTCTCTTTCTTACTGCAACAATGTTTTCCTTTTTCCTTTATCCCTTGTTCTCTTTTCTTACTGCAACAATGTTTTCCTTTTTCCTTTATCCCTTTTCTCTTTCTTACTGCAACAATGTTTTCCTTTTCCCCTTTATCCTTGTTCTCTTTCTTACTGCAACAATGTTTTCCCTTTTTTCCTTTATCCTTGTTCTCTTTCTTACTGCAACAATGTTTTTCCTTTTTCCTTTATCCCTTGTTCTCTTTCTTAAGGTAACAATGTTTTCCCTTTTTTATCCCTTGTTCTCTTTCTTACGTCCACAATGTTTTCCCTTTTCCTTTATCCTTGTTCTCTTTCTTGCAATAATGTTTTTCCTTTTTCCTTTATCCTTGTTCTCTTTTCTTACGGCCCCTTTTCCTTTGTCCTTATTTTTCCTTAATAATCCCATATTCTCTCTTTCTTGTCAACAATGTTTTCCTTTTCCTTTATCCCTTTTTCCTTTATGTTTTCCCCTTTGTCCTTGTTCTCTTTCACTGCAACAATGTTTTCCTTTTTCCTTATCCCTTGTTCTCTTTCTTCTGCAACAATGTTTTCCCTTTTCCTTCATCCTTGTTCAAACAATGTTTTCCCTTTTTCCTTTATCATTCTCTCTTTGCAACAATGTTTTCTTACGGCTTTCAATGATTTTCCTTTTTCCTTTATCCCTTGTTCTCTCTTTCTTACGGCCAACAATGTTTTCCTTTTTCCTTTATCCCTTGTTCTCTTTCTTACTGCAAATATGTTTTCCCTTTTCCTTTATCCCTTTGTTCTCTTTCTTACAAATATTTTCCACTTTTCCTTTATCCCTTTGTTCTCTTTCTTACGGCCAATGTTTCCTTTTCTTATCCCCTTCTCTTTTATCCCTTTTTCCCTTTTCCTTTACGTTCTCTTTCTTACTACCTTTGTTTTCCTTTTCCTTTATCCTTTGTTCTCTTAATTCTGCAACAATGTTTTCCCTTTTTCCTTTATCCCTTATTTCTCTTTCTTACGGCCAATGTTTTCCTTTTCCTTTTTCCCTTGTTCTCCTTTGTTGTTTTTCACGTCCACTGCAACAATTTTCTCTTTTTCCTTTATCCCTTGTTTTCTCTTTTCTTACTGCAAATAATGTTTTCCCTTTTTCCTTTATCCCTTGTTCTTTCTTACGGCCACAATGTTTTTCCTCTTTTCCTTTATCTTTGTTCTCTTTCTTACGTCCATAATGTTTCCCTTTTTCCTTTATCCCTTATTCTCTTTCTTACTGCAACAATGTTTTTCCTTTTTTCCTTTATCCCTTGTTCTCTTTCTTTTACTGCAACAATGTTTTCCCCTTTTCCTTTATCCCCTTGTTCTCTTTTCTTACGCAACAATGTTTCCCTTTTTCCTTTATCCCTTCTCTTTCTCACAGCCACAATGTTTTTCCCTTTTCCATTTATCCCCTCGTTCTCTTTCTTACTGCAACAATGTTTTCCTTTTTCCTTTATCCCTTGGTCTTTCTTACTGCCAAATGTTTCCCTTTTTCCTTTTCCCTTTTTTATCCTTGTTCTCTTTCTACTGCAACAATGTTTTCCTTTTTTCTCCTTTATCCATTTCCTTTTTTCCTTTTTCCCTTGTTCTCTTTTTTCAATACAATGTTTTCCCCTTTTTCCTTTATCCCTTGTTCTCTTTTCTTACTGCAACAATGTTTTTCCTTTTTCCTTTATTTTTTCCTTACTGCAACAATGCTTTTCCTTTTCATATCCCTTGTTCTCTTTCTTACGGGCCACAATGTTTTCCTTTTTCCTTTATCCCTTGTTCTCTGCTTACTGCTGTAATGTTTTCCCTTTTTCCTTTATCCCCATTTCTCTTTCTTACGTAACAATGTTTTTCCTTTATCCCTTTTTTCTTACTGCAACAATGTTTTCTTTTCCTTTATTTGTTCTCTTTCTTACGTCCACAATGTTTCCTTTGTTTTCCTTTTTCTCTTTATCCCAATTTTTTCCCCTTTTCTTTATCCTTGTTCTCTTTCTTGCACTGCAACAAGGTTTTTCCTTTTTTTCCTTGTCCCTTTGTTCTCTTTCTTACGGCCACAATGTTTTTTCCCTTTTCCTTTATCCCTTTGTCGTTCTCTTTCTTACTGCAACAATGTTTTTCCCTTTTTCCTTTATCCTTTTCTCTTTCTTACTGCAAACAATGTTTTTCCCTTTTTCCTTTTTCCCTTGTTCTCTCTTTCTTACGGCAACAATGTTTTCCCTTTTTCCTTTATCCTTTGTTCTCTTTCTTACGGCCACTTAATGTTTTTCCTTTTCCTTTATCCCTTGTTCTTTCTTAATGTTTTTTGCTTTATCCTTGTTCTCTTTCTTCCTGTGTCTTTTTTCCCTTTTATCCCTTTATCCCTTATTCTCTTTCACTGCAACAATGTTTTCCTTTTTCTTTATCCCTTGTTCCTCTTTTTACTGCAACAATGTTTTCCTTTTTCCTTTTTTCTCTTTCTAATGTTTTTCCTTTTTTCCTTTATCCCTTGTTCTCTTTTTTCCTTTTTCCCTTTTTTGTTCTCTCTTTCATTGCAACAATGTTTTTCCCTTTTTCCTTTATCCCATATTTCTCTTTCTTACTGCAAATGTTTTCCCTTTTGCTTTCCCTTGTTCTCTTTCCCTTTTTTCTTTTCCTTGTCCTTGATTCTCTTTTCTTGCAACATGTTTCCCTTTGTTCTCTTTCTTACGGCCAATGTTTCCCTTTTTCCCCTTTCTTTCTTACAGCCACAATTTTTTCCTTTATCCCTTTTCCTTTTCTTATCCCTTGTTCTCTTTCTTAACAATGTTTTCCTTTTTCCTTTATCCCTTTTCTCTTTTCTTATCATTACAATGTTTTCCTTTTTTTCCTTTTATCCCTATTTCTCTTCTACTGCAACAATATTTTCCTTTTCCTTTTTATCCCTTTTCTCTTTCTTACTGCAACAATGTTTTCCTTTTCTTCTTTTCTTCCTTTATGTTTTCCCCTTTTGTTCCTCTTTTCTTACGCAAATAATGTTTATCCCTTTTCTTTCTTTATCCCTTGTTCTCCTTATTTTCTTACTGCAATAACAATATTTTTCCTTTTTCCTTTATCCCTTGTTTCTTTCTTACTACCAATCCCTTGTTCTCTTTCTTACTGCAACAATGTTTTCCTTTTCCTTTATCCCTTGTTCTCTTTTCTTACTGCAACAATATTTTTCCTTTTTCCTTTATCCCTTATTTCTCTTCTTTACTGCAAATAATGTTTTCCCCTTTTTCCTTTATCCTTGTTCTCTTTCTTACTGCAACAATGTTTTTCCTTTTTCCTTTATCCCTTGTCTTTCTTACTGAAACAATATTTTCCTTTTTCCTTTATCCCTTGTTCTCTTACTTGCAAACAATGTTTTCCCTTTTTTTTTCCTTTTTCTCTTTCTCATACAATGTTTTCCCTTTCATTTTTCCTTTACTGCAAATAATGTTTTTCCTTTTTTCCTTTATCCCTTGTCTCTTTCTCTTATTGCAATGTTTTCCCTTTTCCTTTATCCCTTGTTTTTTCTTACTACCTTAATGTTTCCCTTTTTCCCTTACGTTCTCTTTTCACAATGTTTTCTCTTTTTTGCAACAATGTTTTTCCCCTTTTTCTTATCCCTTGTTCTCTTTCTCTTGCAAACATTTTCCCCTTTTCCTCATCCTATTTCTCTTTCTTTACTGCAACAATGTTTTCCTTTTTTCCTTTATCCTTTTGTCTTTCTTTGCAACATGTCCACAATGTTTCTCTTTCTTACTGCAACAATGTTTTCCTTTTTCCTTTATCCTTGTTCTCTTTCTTACTGCAACAATGTTTTCCTTTTTCCTTTATCCCTTTCCTCTTTCTTACTGCAACAATGTTTTCCCTTTTCCTTTATCCTTGTTCTCTTTCTTACTGCAACAATGTTTTTCCTTTTCCTTTTATCCCTTTTTCTCTTTCTTGGCAACAATATTTTTCCCTTTTTTCCTTTATCCCTTGTTCTCTTTCTTACAGCAACAATATTTTTCCCTTTTTTCCTTTATCCCTTGTTCTCTTTTCTTACTACCTTAATCTTTCCCTTTTCCTTCCTCCTTGTTCTCTTTCTTACCAACAATGTTTTCCTTTTCCCTTTATCCTTGTTCTCTTTTCTTACTGCAACAATGTTTTCCCCTTTTCCTTTATCCCTTATTCTCTTTCTTACTGCAACAATATTTTCCCCTTTTGCTTTGTCCATATTCTCTTTCTTACATACAATGTTTCCCTTTTCCTTTATCCATATCCTCTCTTTCTTACTGCAGCCCAACAATGTTTCCCTTTTCCTTTATCCTTGTTCTCTTTCTTTACTGCAACAATGTTTGCTTTATCCCTCCAGTTCTCTTTCTTTTATTAATGTTTTTTTTTCCTTTATCCCTTGTTTCTTTCTTACTGCAACAATGTTTTCCCTTTTTCCTTTATCCCTTGTTCTCTTTCTTACGCAACAATGTTTTTCCCTTTTCCTTTTCCCTTGTTCTCTTTCTTACTGCAACAATGTTTTTCCCTTTTCCTTTATCCTTGTTCTCTCTTTCGGTAACAATAACCCTTTTCCTTTAATGTTTTTCCCTTTTCCTTTATCCCTTGTTCTCTTTTCTTTTGTTTTCCTTTTTTCCTTTATCCTTGTTCTCTTTCTTACTGCAACAATGTTTTCCCTTTTCCTTTATCCTTGTTCTCTTTCTTTCAACAATGTTTTTTTTTCCTTTATCCCTTGTTCTCTTTCTTACTGCAACAATGTTTTTCCTTTTTCCTTTATCCCTTGTTCTCTTTCTTTGCAACAATGTTTTTCCCTTTTTCCTTTATCCTTGTTCTCTTTCTTACTGCAACAATGTTTTCCCTTTTTTCCTTTATCCCTTGTTCTCTTTCTTACTGCAACAATGTTTTTTTCCCTTTTCCCTTTATCCCTTGTTCTCTTTTCTTACTGCAACAATTTTTCCTTTATCCTTGTTCTCTTTCTTACTGCAACAATGTTTTCCTTTTTCCTTTATCCCTTGTTCTCTTTCTTACTGCAATGTTTCCTTTTCCTTTATCCCTTGTTCTCTTTCTTTCAACAATGTTTTTCCCTTTTCCTTTATCCCTTGTTCTCTTTCTTACTGCAACAATGTTTTCCCTTTTCCTTTATCCTTGTTCTCTTTCTTACTGCAACAATGTTTTTTCCCTTTTTCCTTTATCCTTGTTCTCTTTCTTACTGCAACAATGTTTTCCTTTTCCCTTTATCCCTTATTTCTCTTTCTTACAGCAACAATGTTTTTCCCTTTTCCTTTATCCCTTGTTCTCTTTCTTACTGCAACAATGTTTTCCTTTTTCCTTTATCCCTTGTTCTCTTTCTTAAATGTTTTCCTTTTTTCCTTTATCCCTTGTTCTTTCTTACTGCAACAATGTTTTCCCTTTTCCTTTATCCCTTGTTCTCTTTCTTACTGCAACAATGTTTTCCTTTTTCCTTTATCTTTCCTTGTTCTCTTTCTTACTGCAACAATGTTTTCCCTTTTTCCTTTATCCATGTTCTCTTTCTTACTGCAACAATGTTTTTCCTTTTTTTCCTTTATCCCTTGTTTCTCTTTCTTACGTGCAACAATTTTTTCCCTTTTTCCTTTATCCCTTGTTCTCTTTCTTACTGCAACAATGTTTTCCTTTCCTTTATCCCTTGTTCTCCCTTAATGTTTTCCCTTTTTCCTTTATCCCTTGTTCCTTTACGGCATGCAACAATGTTTTCCCTTTTTCCTTTATCCTTGTTCTCTTTCTTACTGCAACAATGTTTTCCTTTTTCCTTTATCCCTTGTTCTCTTTCTTACTCCAACAATGTTTTTCCCTTTTTTCCCTTTTTCCTTTATCCCTTGTTCTCTTTCTTACTGCAACAATGTTTTCCCTTTTTCTTTATCCCTTGTTCTCTTTCTTCTGCAACAATGTTTTCCTTTTTCTTTATCCCTTGTTCTCTTTCTTACTGCAATAAATGTTTTCCCTTTTTCCTTTATCCCTTGTTCTCTTTCTTACCTTACATGTTTTCCCTTTTTCCTTTATCCTTGTTCTCTTTCTTACTGCAACAATGTTTTCCCTTTTTCCTTTATCCCTTGTTCTCTTTCTTACGTCCACAATGTTTTCCCTTTTTCCTTTATCCCTTGTTCTCTTTTCTTACTGCAACAATGTTTCCTTTTTCCTTCCTTTTTATCCCTTGTTCTCTTTTCTTACTGCAACAATGTTTTCCCTTTTCCTTTAT